CACACACACACACACACACACACACACACACACACACACAGAAAAAAAAACCCAAAACTAAAAACATAGCTGTGACTTTAAAAACTGGTCTCAGGTAATGTCTGTTCACTGTATTGTTACAAGATTCCTAGGGCATTCTGAATATACTTGTAGTAGACACGTGTGTACTCATGTGCATGTGCACGCGCGCGCACACACACACACACACACACACACACACACATATACAGGTTAAGGAACCAAAATGATTCTCTGATGTGGGATTCCAGCTGATTTTCCTTCTGATAATTCATATGGCCTTTTAAGATTTTTTTATTTCTTAAGTGAATAACACTCATAAATGTTCAACATGTGTGTGTTAGACAAATGCTAAAAGGTGAACAATTAAAAGCAAGACCCCCCCCTGCCTAAGGTCCCTTTCTCTCCCAAGGGGCAACTGCCATGATGGCAGGATGAGGAGAGCTTTAAGCACGCAATGCCCACGTGCATGCTACCTCAAACCCTCCCAGGGTGGCTTTTACCACCACAATTTCCTATCGAGCCTGTTCAGCCTCCCCAGCTTCTGGCCCCCTGTGGCAGGTGCATAGTACATGCAAGCTGAGAACAGAGGCGGAGCACATCTGAAGGTTCCATCATGGCCAAGGGGGAGACCCAGGGGAGAAGCACCAAGGATGTACCTAGGACACAGTCCGCCCCCTCCATTCACCCAGCGGTGAGCACCAAAGTCCCAGGAGCCAGAGAAAAGGCCCCAACCCAACCTCTGAGGAACTCAATGGTCCTCATTATCTCACCTAGACCCCAATAAGCACACCTGACTGGATAGGAAAGACCCTTGGGCTACAGGAATGACTTGGCTTGAGCTCAGCTTAGTCACACTCCCAGTGAGACCTGGGGCAAGCAATTTCCTTCTCTGGGCCTTGCTTTCTCCACTAGCATAAAGAAAGATCAAGCGACCAGATGACACCATGGGTAAATTCTAAGATTCATGGCAAGACCTAAGCCTGTTTTCCTTCTCAAGACCTTTCCAAAGCTGTCAGTATGATGAGAGGACAGACAATGAGTCTGCTTCCCACCCAACTCAGGGCCTGAAATGTCAGGAGAGGAATGGCGTGTGGGGTAAAGGCAGAGGCTTAGACTGGGAGGTAAATGACCATGACCAGGAGGGGTCGCTGTTCCCCTCTCCTAAGGTTTGGTCCCTCTGCAGAGGCCCAGGCAGAAATGGGCACTAAGAATTCTTGTTATGATACGAACGGCTGTACCTTAGCCAGCATGTACTGAGCAGATCTATGTGCCACGTACTGTTCTAAGTGCTCCCCAGATATTCCCTGCTGTAAGCCTCCTAACAGCCTTTGACCTAGCACCTTACCCAGCTGCCAGGGGTGGTGAAGCTGAGTCAGTGGGAGGCTGAAGGAAGGCAGGCACCTAAGTCACAGAGCTCCATTCAACCCCAAGCTGTCAGGGTCCAGTCTGGAAGGAAGCAGGACCCCATCCACAGAAGCCACAAGGTAAGGCAGCACCTTGGGGGCTGGCATATAGCAGGTGCTCAGTGAATGTTTCCTACTGCTTTGCAGATCTCAAAGGCAGTGGCAGAGAAAGCAATGAACTCCAGACTACTAGTCAAAATACCTGCTTTCTAAACTTGGTTGGCATACTGACTTTCTGTGTGTCCAGAGGAGAGACCCTCTCCACCTGGGGCCTCGATTTCCTCAGAGTTAAGCTTGGTGATCACCAAAAGTTGACCCCTTCTCCCTTTCTTCCTTTATACAGGGGCCTGAAATCAGGGCCACACACTGGCTAGTCAGGTTCCCTACAACTTGAGTCACATCTCCATCCCACCAAGGGCCTCTCCAGATCCCTCTCCATGACCTAAGGCCCCTCCTAAGACTGACAAGCTCTGATTTTCCAGCTGGGTCTCAGCAGTCCTGAGAGCTGCAGCCCTAAGCTGAGGAAATAGCCCAAGACATGCTGCACACCCCATAATACCTGGGACTTCAGTGAGCTGTGCAAGGCAGACCCTTTGAAAGTCTGGTCAGAGCTGACATTGTTCTTCCACATGCACATTTGCACATGCTGCACACACACACTGAGCACTTGACCTGTGCCGGCCAGGGCGGTAAACCAGTTCAACCTCTCTGAAGGATAATCTGCAAGGACCTGAGTAAGATGACAAATCATGTCTCTGGAGACTAAGAAATCCCATTTCCAGGAATTTATTTACCTCTATGGGTCCAAGATCTTTGTGAGCAGAGGTGGTAGCTGATGACAGTAGATTAATGTAATGACAGTAGATTAGCCATTCCACAGGGAATGGCTAATTATGTGACAACACATTCTTCCCTGGGAAATACTACATAGCCATTAAGAAGGACGGGGCAGGCCTCCACCCTTTCAGCTGGAAGAGTTTCCAGAGTTTAGTGAGAAAGCAAGAGGCAGAGCAGTCTATAACACAGGCTTCTTTTGTAGAGAAGAAAAGTAGGAGGAGGAAGAAGAGGAGAAAGGAGGAGGAAGAAGAGGAGGAGGAGAAAGAGGAGGGAAAAGAAGGAGAAAAGAAAAAATAGGTGAGGAGAAAGTCCAATAACAAACCAGTAACCATGGCTACCCCTAAGATGGGAAAAATCAATTGGGAGAGAGCTAAGGTTTCCTTCTAACTGTCTCCATTTCCTGTTCAGATTTTTACTGCTTGTGGGTAATCATTGAGAAATTGTTCGCAAGGGTCTCACACAGGACTAAGATCAATCTTTTGAATTCCATTCTTTGATGTCCTCTCCCCAGGCTGTAAAGAGACCCCCCCCAGCAGAGGCTGGAGCTGACAGCTCTGCACACATCACCCTACAACCAGACACCTGACCTCAGGCATCCACCACCACCTCAGTTAGAAATAGGTTCTCACCAGTGACAGCTCATCAACCTCAGACACTGGAGCCAAGAGCCTCTCCATGGCAGGACTGGGGGGCGTAGACAAGGGGCCAGGTGAAGCTGAGGTGCAGGAGGGTGTGTCCCCCTCCTCCAGGCCTGGGAAGGCAGCCAGCTCCACGTCATCTTCAGGGATGTCGTCCAGGGTCTTGGTGAGTGCGGCCAGGAGGGCCTCATTCTCACTGTCAATCTGGCAGGAGGAGGCAGAGGGGGGAGAGGGTGAGTCACTTCTACACCCAGAGGAGACCAGCTTTGCCCACCCCACTGAACCACATCCAGCCTCCTGCCAAACCTCCACTTGCTGTGTCCCATCAGATCTTCTCAGCATTCCTAGGTTAGCAGATGCTCAGTCAATGTGTTGCCATCTTTAAAAACCACAGAATTTTATGAGCAGGCAGCAGGTGGTAAACGCAAGGTCCCTGTCCTGGAGTGCTAGCCTTGATTCTGCCTGTGGTCTGAAGTAGAAGGCTGTCCACCAAGGACACCTGCCTTCTTACCAGTGATAGACCTTTCTCCATCCTTGGAGACGCATCTCATTGCAGGCCCAGTCCCTTGGACCCTGGGGCACCAGGAAGGCGAAGGCTGATCACCTTGAGACCCAAACAGGGCAATGATAACCACAGTAATGATAAAATGGCTTCTGTTTTCCTTCAGAGACCCCCCCAGGGCTTTCTCTCCCAGATCAACCAGGGAGAGAAAAGCAGGTACTACAGTCAGGAGTTCTGGAGCTGGAGCCGGGGTTGACTCACAAAGCCACACTTAACCCACTGTGGGCAAATTAGTTTCTTCACCTGTCATGGAGGATGACAGGTAGACCCCATCCCCATGAGGCTCATGGTGAGTAACTGGAAGAGTTACTAGAGGAAACTGGTCAACACGAAACTAGAACTCGTTATTAGTAACTGTAACCATGATTACACTAAAGTTCCAACAATGGTGGACAACCTCCCACTCCCTCCTTCACTACATGGCTCTGAGCTCGGCTTTGTGCTGGACAGTGGAGGATCCAGCACACTGAGACTCAGCCCCCCCCACTCCCCACCCCTGCTTCCAGAGCCTCCTCTCCAAGGAAGAGCACATCTTAGCAAGAGCGCAGCAAGTGTGTATGGGAGAGAGTACAGAAGGCTGGAGGAAAGGCAGAGGATGCTGGGATGGAGAAGAAGAACATGCTATTGATAGGCTCTGAGTAGGCTTAGCGTGCGCAAGCCCAGTCCCTAGGCTCCCAGGCCAGAAGGCAGGAACAGAGGCTGCCGCTCCTGAGTCAGTGATCTTGGTTCCTTGGCCTGTCCATGCAGAAGCACATGCTGTCACATGATGCCTCCCCGGCACACTTTCCCATCCATCCTAGGTCAGGCTGTTTATCCTTCTTCAGGAAGTTCATCTGAAATACACATCTCGTGATGACCTTTTGGCTGCACTAGATCTATTCCAAGCTCTGCAGCCAGAGCTGCAGCTAAGAAGCTCAGGGGCGGGGTGCACAGGGGTGGGGTGGTGGGGGGAGTCAGGCAGAGAACAAATGCCTTGTAATTTTTAGAACAGATCTAAGAATAAAAGTCAAAAGAAGATCTTGATTGGGTCTGCTTCAAGCCCTGAATCTGAGACCCCATGGGCACATTGTGGCACACAGACTCCAGTCCTAGACCAAGATTTGAACTTATTTGGTTATTCCCCCACTCCCAAGTCTCCCCCAAGCCTCAGGCCAGATTCCCAGTGCTGTCCCCACAACACTGTGTCTGGCTTGCTGGGGGAGTTAAGATCTGGAAAGCTGGGAACTGAGGACCGGGTTTGAGGCTGATCACAATGGCTCTGCCACTGACAAAATGACTCTGGGAAAGTCATTTCCCTCTTCTAAGCCAGCTCCTTTTCCTGTCCAACGGGAAGACATGTTCTTGGAATCTCTCCTTCAGGGGTGATGGCTGGACTAGGCTCTAAGCCTGGGGTGTGGGAAGTGGCAGAGTTGCTACAAGAAGGAATGAATGAGGCAGAAAATGGACAGTGGTGGATGACCACTTCCGTGTCTGGAAGGCTAGATTTTATGAAGAAGACATCCAGAAATGACATCATTAGTTTGGATTGGAGTAAGAATTCTCCTGGGACAGCAACAAATGGCCCAGAGATATGGTGAACTAATTCCCCATTTAGGGTCATGAGGTAGCCAGGCCTGTCAATCTTGTGGTATGTGTACTCCCATGGTGCTGACTGCCCCTGTTCCCTTCGACACCAGCATCTTTCCTGACAGGGCTCCAACTCCCAACCAATCACAGCTGGGGCTCCTCAGGAAACCTATGGGCCATTCCTCCCATAGGAATGGGGATCAGCCCCAGGAAACAGACTGGCCAAGTTTGCGTAGGAAGCCGGGGCTGAGAAGGGGCAAGTGGGGTCAAGCCTGAAAAGAGGGACCTAGAAAGACAAGCCTGAAGGCCAAGCACTGGTGGCTCACACAGGTAATCCTAGCTACTCAAGAGGCTGAGATCTAGAGATTGGGGCTCTAAGCCAGCCTGGTTAGGAAAGTCTGAGAGATTCTTATTTCCAATGAACCACCAAAAAAGCTGGAAGTAGAGGTGTGGTTCTAATGGTAAAGGGCTAGTCTTGAATGAACAAGCTAAGAAACAGCACCTAGCCTCTGAGTTCAAACCCCACTAACAGTACAGAGGAAGGAAAGAAGGGAGGGAAATAGGGAGGAAGGAAGGAAGGAAGGGAGGAAGGAAGGAAGGAAGGAAGGAAGGAAGGAAGGAAGGAAGGTTAACTCTTGAGTTACTAACTTATGGAGTGCCCGGCATGGGGCTAAAATGAACACAAAAATGGCAGACACCTGAAGAAGCAGCCAGCAAGTGGCGGGGGGGGGGAACAAGGACTAATAAAGGGGTCTCCCCTCTCCCCTTTCCCCCAAGCTGCTCAGCTCTGGAATAGCCTGATGTGTAAGGCTGGAGCTGTGGCTGGCTAGAAGAAAGGTCTCTGGGTCACCCATAGGCACCCTAAGACAGCACATCACAGGAAGCTGGCCACCCTTGCTCTTCCAGGGCCCATTAGCTCACTCCCCCTGCTCGGCTTAGAAACAGAGTGCAAATTAATGGAGAGCTAATCAGCTGAGGAAGGTATATTAATAGACTTAGCCCTACCCCCCAACCTTCCCGAGCGGATCACAAGCTGGAAGAAAAGGATCCTTCCAGAACTGAAGGCAAATGCTTTGTTTGGAGACCTGAGGTGGCTTGAAGGAAGACAAAGCAGCATCCAGGCTGCAGACAACCTCCCCAACCAAGAGACGCCACCACCGGGAAACTTGGGAAATTCAAATCCCTCCATGGAGGCCAGGAAACTCGGGAAATTCAAATCCCTCATCTCAGCAGGGAGAAGGCCTATGATTTCTGAGCAAAGGCTCATGTCTGAAAGGATCCTCTCAGTTTCTCAACAGATAGAGAGCCAGTGACATTTCCTTCTTCCTTCCTTACATGGGGAAACTGAGACCCTGCCCAAAGGAATGACCTATCCTAGGCAAAAAACAGAGCAATCAATGCCCTGCTTAGTCTAGAAACATCTATTAAATGGATGTTGTTCCCCAGCCCAAGGCCTCTGGAGCACCAAGAAATGGAAGGTAAAATGTCCCTGTCCCCAAAAGGCTGTCAACTCTCTAGCACTGCTAGCTTGTTCTCCATACTTCTAGCTCATCCCCGCAACCATGGTGCCATTTAATGGCTCTGCCACAGTCAGTCATGCTTGAAGACACCTACTTGTCCTATGAGGAAGCTATCCCACATAGTGGCAGGAAGAGGATCAGAACCTATGGCTCCTGGGTCTCACCATATGCTTGACAATGGGTCATGTCTGGCCCTTGGCAGGAAAGAAGATCTCACTACAATCAATCAGATCTTTCATTTGACCTGCAAGAACTGAAGGTCCATGACCATGTGTGGTGGCTCCCGAGGCTGAGGGGGGAACTCACAGTCTAACACACACCAGTGGAACATGCTGAAGCGTCATGAGCATTGGGTGTGGAAGGTTTACTTGTTTAATGACAACTAGATCCTGACAGAGTGCTAGACACTGGGCAGAGCCGTGGGAACCAACAATGCATAGTGAGGACCCAGCTCAGAGCCTCCGATGGCTGGGGGTTGAGGAGTGGGAACAGGCTGGATCACATGATTTCAAAACAGGTGCATGTGGCAGCAGGTGAGGTGGACAGGCCACAGAGCAGGGAGGGCAGGGGGGCAGAACTCTGCCTACTGTGAGGACTGAGAGCCTGGGGCCATACCGAGGAGCCCAGGGTTTGACCCTTCTTTGTGTCCTAGCAGGACTGAAGCCAGAGGCTTCCTGGGCTCTGGCTAGGAGTGAGTATAGCCTGTGCATTTTAATGGATAGGGTTTCCAGAAAGCACCCAGACCTCTCTGTTTCTCTCTGTGTCTCTGTCTCTGTCTCTCTCTCTCTATATATATATGTATATCTCTCTTTTTCTCTCTCTCACTGTTTATCTTTCTGTGTATGTGTGTGTATATCTCTGTTTCTGTTTGTCTGTGTGTGTGTGTGCCAGTTCTGAGGCTTGAACTCAGGGCTTCACATTCTCAGTTGCTTTTTTGCTGAAGCCTGGTGCTCTGCTATTTGAGACACACCTCCACTTCTGCTTTGTTTTTTCTTACTTGAAAATGCTAATACTAAAAATGCTCATGAAAATGCTCAAAAAAAGATGCTGGTTTTTTGCTTGCTCACTCTTCTAGTTAACTGGAGATAAGAATAACTCAGATTTGTCTTCTCAGAGCTGGCTATGAGCTACAATCTTCAGATCTCAACTTAGAAATAGCTAGGACTTCAAGTGTGAGCCACCAGTGCCCACCACCAAACCACTCTTAAGCAATTAAGAGTGCAACCTGAAAGCAGTTTTAGGGAATTGTTCCCTAAGACAGACAGAACAACACAATGAAGGCATTGTTTCCATTACTCACATAAAAACATGGAGGTCTAGAGGCAACCAGAACCTGAACTCTGCCCCGCGGATTCCTTACTGGGATGGCAAAAGGATTCCGCATGAAAGTATAGGGCATGCACTCTTAGGTTAGAATCTTTGCCCTAGTCTTTCCTTTTTGTATGACCTTGGGACAGTTCCTTTAAGTTCTCTGGGCCTTACTTTCCTCATCTGTAAAATGGGTTATTTATAATGCTCAGCTTATAGATGATAACAGTCTTGGAAAAAATCAAAACTCTTTACATGGTGCACAAGACTCTGTATGGTGAATCCTCCATCTACCTCCATGTACTTATCTCCTAACTCTTCTCCAGCCTTCCTATTTCACGCTCTGCATTGACTACTTCTGCCCCCAAATGCTTTGTCCCTGCCCTTCAAGCTCCTGGAGGCTGCCACCTCTCCGTCCTTCCACTAAAATGCTCTTCTTTGGAGGAATCTTCCCTGATGCTACTCTGCCTTCCCAGCCCTCCTCTGCCACAGGTGACTGCTGCTGGCTGGCACTGCTGCTGATCTAGGGGTGTATTACCCTCCGGACTGGGAGTTCCCTAATAGACACAATGCCTGACCATGTAGCTCCATACACCTTTCCATCAGGAGAACTACTTGAGATGTCTCCATGGCACAGAACACACCACACAGGCCTTGACAGCTATGGCTTCTACCTGTGACCTCTATGTGGGAGAAAATGTCAAGGAAAGAACAAAGCCAAACAGCTCCACATCGCCCAGCTTCCACACAGCCAATCTCCAGGCCACACACCCACGCCCACACATGCAAATGCACGCAAGCTTGCTTTATTCCCAACCCAAACAGACAGCCAATGGTCCCACAAAGAGGTCTTCTTAAAGGTAATGTCCATCATCCTGTGCCCAAGGCTGTTCACCTGCACACACATGGCTGAGAGGCCCCTGCACAGTGCCCCTTGGCACTGGTTTTTACTGAAGAACCTCTAGCCCAACAGAAGAATGGGCATAAGGCATTTACAGATGAGAGGTGTTGGAGGAAATGAGGACTATATATGAGCAGAGATAGCACTGCCACCGATCCAGTACCAGGTAACAGGAATGTTCCCATGGCTGCCCTCATTCCTGGCTCTGGAGGCAGCAGGCTGTGTGGAAATCAGGTAACTCACTAAGGTGCATGACTGCTCCAAGTCATGGAAAACCATCAAATGGGAAGATAAAGTTGGGCACCAGTGGCTACTCAGGAGACTAAGACTTGAGGATCTGAGTTTCAAAGCCAACCCAGATAGGAAAATCCATGAGACTCTCAGCTCTAATTAACCACCCAAAAGTCCAAAGTGGAGCTGTGCAGCTCAAGTGGTAGAGTGCCAGCCTTGAGCAAAAAAAGCCAAGTGAGAAGGTGAGGCCCTGAGTTCAAGACCCAGAACCAGCACACAAACAAAAACTAATAACAATAATAATATTAAAATAAGTAATGGCTCTGCACTGCATGGATAAGGTGAGGATTCCATGACATAGTGTCTCTCTGGTCCCCAGTGAATCCTGGGAGCCTAGAAGGCACAGAACCAGCAGCTCATTCCAGCCCTTTCTTTCAGAGGTGACACCATGGGCCATGTGTGTGAGTAAGAACCAGCCTGGGTAAGGCACAGATCCAGGACAGGGCAAGAAGCCTGGTCCTAATAGCGTGGGTAAATGGGAGACTCCATACTGTGAGCCAGCACAAAAGGCAGAGGAACACAACCTGGTGGGCAGGGCCTACCTGGAAGAGCTCACTGTCGTCAGGGTTGTACTGGTGAGGCTCAGTCTCAGAGTTCTCCGGGCTCCACTGCAGCTCCCCAAAGCAGGTAGCTGAGTCAAAGTCGGTAGCATCCAGCTGAGAGAGGTCAAGCTCAGGAAAGTCCGCGCAGAGGTGCTCCTCACCGGCTGCCTCACCCTGAGGAGACAAAAAAGAAGAAGGCTGGTTAGACATGAGCCCTCGCTAGGCCCAGATAGGGTCCTTCTCACTTGGGATGCTGCAAATCTGGACCCCTGGGCAATGCTTGATTTGGAGAAATGGCTAACAAACTGTGAAGATCTGCCCCACTTCTTGTAACCACTGAATCTACTGGCAGCTGAGCCAGGCCCTTACTATACATACCTCCCCTGCTCCTCTGAACTCCTATACATCCCTCATCACCCAACCACCTGGTATCTTCTCCCTCTTAGTAAAACTGTTTGGTTGAAAATTTTATTAGAGTCCATAAATGGCGTTCTTCCTTCACATTACTGTCCCCACCTTTAAGGAGATTTCTTAAAGCTAATGACTCTTCTATATTTATAATCAAACAAGATATCCCAATAACAATGGTTGACATGGTTGAGTGATTGTCAGGTTCTGGGGAAACATTTACCCATGTTTCCAGGGATCTTAGAGGGTTATTTGTGATGTTTAAATTTGGCGGAAATGCATAGATAAAAGGTAAATAAACATACGACACACCTGCATCATGAAAGTAGTAATGAAAAAGACCACCAAATTTATGATCATCCTCCCCACAATAAAACACTGGGTTGTAGAATACGTGCATGAAGCATATAATCCCATTGTGTAGAGAAAAAAAATGGAAGGCCATAAGAGTCCTGCCTTTCCTTACGTAGGAAAATGCAAAGTCACAGGAAGAGATCCAGAGGGAAAGATGGCTGTATGCATGCCACAGCAACAAGAAAGGGGCAGCCCCAAGACCCCCAAACCCGAGTCACAATCACCACTCATGAGCCCTGACACTGTGAGCAAGTCTCTTTCCCCCACTCAGAAACCCACATCTGTAAAATGGGGATGACAACAGTACTTGCCTCACAGAACAAAGAGCAAAGGACCAATGAGACAAGGAGAGGCCACCCAACAAGTTCTTCACAAAGGGCATCTCACAGCAGTGACAGTGAATGATGGTGGTTATAAAAATTAAAAACAAAACAAAACCCAGTAGCACTCACAGCCTCACAACAAAGAAAAACAAACACTGCCGGGCATTGGTAGCTTAATCCTATAACCTCAGGAAGCTGAGATCTGAGGATCGAGGTCTGAAACAGGTAGGAAAGTCCATGAGATCCTTATTTTCAATTAACTACCAAAAAGCCAAAAGTGGAGCTGTGGCTCAAGTGATAGAGCAGTAGCCTTGGGCACAAAAGTTCAGGGACAGGGCCCAGGCCCTGAGTTCAAACCCCAGGACTGGCATGAAAAGAAAAGGTGGCATCAAAAGAAATAGATTTTGCATAGGCCCTTTCCTTAATTGTTCCCACTTACTAGACCTCATAAATTATGAATAAATGTATAATTAGCTCCACTTGACACAGGAAAAAAGCTTTTATCCAAATTTGGGTCAGATGTCTTAATTGGTGTTTTGCAAGAATCCTGTCTGCACGGGTGGCAAAAGGGTCAGGTCCTTGCATGTGGCTGTCCCCACAGAGTCTCAGGCCAGGTAGCACTGTCTGGCAGGCCTAGCCCCAGGGGCATGTTTCCACCACCCAACCCTCCACCTGCCTGTTCTCTCTAATCCAGGAGCATTCAGTGCCCTAAATATTGAGCTCCAAGTTACTCTGAGCCAGACACTGTGCCAAGTGGGATGGCCAGGGATGAAAACAGACAGAAACACTGTCTTCTGGGAGCTCAGATGCAGGAGATGGCAGAGGATTTTTATATAAATCACGATGCAAACAAAGCAAGTCATGGTTCAGTTGCCTATGGTCAATTATAGTCTGAAAATAATTACTTGCAAATTCTAGGAATAAGCCATTCCTAAGTTTTAACTTGCACTCCATTTTGATTAGCATGATGAAAGTTTGTGTAGTCCTGCTAACTCACTAGGATGCCGGCGTATCCACCGTGTATATGCTACCTGTCCATTAGTCAGAGTAGCCCTGCTCCCTACAGGCGGACCATGGCTGCACAGCAACACTTACGTTCAGGTAACCCTTACATTACTTACTCTCAGACAGACCCAAAATGGTGCCAAGGAGAAGCCATGAATGCTTCCTGTATGGGAAAAGTTGAACACCCTATGCTGAGGTTAGGATCTCAGGTAAGAACCTATCTTCTATCCAGGAATTTTTGAAGAAGGTAAAGAAAATTCAGTCAAACCACAAGAGTTAGTGTGACAATGTGTAATATGTGCCTCATGAGATGGAAACATATATACATATGCAGGGAAAATGCAATATCCATAAGATTTGGTACTATCCATGGTCTGGCATCCACTCACAGAGGGTCCTGGAACATATCCCCTGAGGTAAGAGAGACCATTGGGTAAAATTAACTCTCCAGAGAACAGCTGGATGCTTCTGAGCCTGACTGGGAGCTTAATGATGAGAGAGAATGGCACTGCCTGAAACTCTGGGTCCCCATGGTAACCCCAACCTGCTGGCCGCTGGCCAGCTGCCATCCATCCCAACTATCAATCAGCAGCCTTTAGCAACTACCACCACTGAGGGAACTGAGGCCGTTTCTCTCAGCTGCCCCTTAGAGCTTCTTTGCCTTTGTTTTCATATGTCAAGAGGACAGTTTTTGCTAGTTCTAGATTGATAAGACAGTTAACTTGCTTTCAGTGTTTAGCCATTACAAGTAAGTGTAACTTTTTTTTTTTTGTTGATCATGGGGTCTGAACTCTGGGCCTGGGTGCTGTCCCTCAGCTCTTCAGCTCAAGGCTAGCACTCTACCACTTGAGCCACAGCGCCACATCTGGCTTTTTCTGCTTATGTGGTGCTGAGGAATCAAACCCAGGGCCTCATGCATGCAAGGCAAGCACTCTACCACTGAGCCACCTTTTGCACATAACATTTATGTGCAAGTCTTTGTGTGGACACAAGTCCTTACTCTCTGAGGCAAATACATAGGAATGAATGTGTATATGGTATAAAAGCTACAAACTGGGCCTAGCACTGGTAGCTCACACCTGTAATCCTAGCTATTCAGGAGGTTGAGATAGGAGAATCACAGTTCAAATGCATCCTAGGAAGATATATCTGAGAGATTCTTACCTCTAATTTTTCCTAAAGCCTAGATGTAGAGGTGTAATTCAAATGGTAGAGCACCATCCTTAAGTGGAAAAAGCTAAGCTAGAGGCTCTGAGTTCAAGTCCCAGTACTGGCATTAAAAAAAAAGCGACCAACTGTTTTCCAGAGTAGTTATGCCGTTGTATTGTCCCATTGGCTCTGAGGGGATCCAATTGTTTCATTTCCTTGCCAACACTTGGTATTGTCAGTCATTTTAATTTAGCCATTTTGGTGTTCCTTCCATGCGACTATGCTGAGCCTCTGATACAAGCCTTGGCTCCCTCTTGGAGAAGAGACGAGAGCCTATGGGCATTTCATTAGACTGGGTGCCTGTGTGAAGGGGAGAATAACAACAGGGAGAATGGGCCCATCTCTCAGGGGCATCAGGAAAGGCATCGTGGGGAGCAGAACTCTGAAACTGTGGAAGACAAGCCTTGCAGGCAGAGGCACAGCAAAGGCCCAGGGAGGCCCTAGCCTAGAGCTCAAGGTTCTGAGCAAGTTGCAGCTCCCAAGATGGTAACGGAGAAGCCCCATCAGGGAGGGACTCTAAGGGATTGGGTTTTATTCCAGGTGTGATGGGGAGGAGCTGGCACAGAAGCTGGCAGTGAGATGGGGTAGCCTGCTGGAACCATCCAGGAGAGCCGAGGTAATGTCTGCTATGTAGATTCAGAAGGAACTTATTAAACATGTTCTCACAAATCTGTGGGTCAGACTCCTCTTGTCCTTAGGGAAAAGTAGAAACAACCAACAAAACTAAGAGTTACGTCGTTGAAGAAACAAATGACAAAAGATAAATGGCCAGCCTAGAGAGCCACGTTTGGTTGCCATCTATGGAGGAAAGCCAAACAGAACCAGCAACGCCCCCAGAGCTAAGCCTTCACTGTGTCTCCAGTCCCTTTCTCTCCAGTTACTAAGAGCTGCCTCTTACATTGGACCCACCTTGTCTCTTAGAAACACCGTTAGAATCTGAGCTCATCAGGAGTCAGCAGCCCTGAGAGGTGGCTCAGGCAGTCAATGTCAGAGGCCCTTGGAAAAGCAGAAGAGGATGGGCTACAGCGTCGAGCATCTACTTAGCATGCATGAGGCTCTGGGTCCCATCCTAGCACAAAGGAAAGGGGAAAAGCTGGGTGTGATGGCTCAATCATGTACTACTAGCCACTCAGGAGTCACAGTCGGCCTGGACAAAAAAAAAAAAAAAAGTGAGACCTCCCCTTCTCCAAATAAAAAGCTAGGTAGCTGAGATGCCACACACCTGCAACCCACCTACAAAGAGACATAATGTAGAGAATCACTGTCCAGGCCTACCGAGCACGAAGAGCAACACCTTCCCTTGTAAACATGTTACCCCTTCTACAAAAGACTCATGATAAGGCTATTATGACTGCATATATTGATTCTCCATAGCAGCTTGATATACTCCAAGTATAGCTAGCACATCAACTAAAGAAACCTCAACTTCATGGTCTTGCCAATTAGGCTTAAGACCTCTCTACAGCTAAAACAATGCAGCACTACATTAATGCTGACTTCTTGGCCTTCTCCATATTTAGGGGCTTTTGAAGGGGGGCCTCAGGTGACCCAGCTCCTAGGAAAAGGGCTGAATTGAAGCCTTCTATCTTGACTGGCTGCCTGCCTTATAGACTCTACCAGTAGAGCTAGGAGGCCACAATCCAAGACTAATAGCCATTGCTATTATGAGCAATTACTATACACCAAGGGCATACTCAGCAGTGCATGCATATTTCCCATTCAGTCCTAAAGCAACCCTGCTAGGTAGGCATTTTTGCTCCCCATGGTACTAGTCAGGAAACCCTGAGATGTTGCCATGGTGTTATTTTGTTAGTACTGGCGAAAAAGTGCTAGACGTAGGTGGTAAGCAACAAAAATGCATTATCTCCCAGATCT